TTGATTAGAGACTTAATATAACTATCAATATTATATTATAAGTACTTCAATTTTCCAAAAATCATTATATATCAATAACAAATTCGCCAGAGTTTCCCTTAAAAATTATATTTTCCCTTTATGCATAAAATATAAAAATACAATCAATCAAAAATCAATTTTTAACCAACACAATCATAATTGTCAAACAAATTATTTAATCTTGATTAAAAACTTAATATAACTATCAATATTATATTATAAGTACTTCAATTTTCCAAAAATCATTATATATCAATAAAAAATTCGCCAGAGTTTCTCCTAAAAATTATATTTTCCCTTTATGCATAAAATATAAAAATACAATCAATCAAAATATCAATGTTTAACCAACACAATTATAATTGTCAAACAAATTATTTAATCTTGATTAGAGACTTGATATAACTATCAATATTATATTATAAGTACTTCAATTTTTCAAAAATCATTATATATCAATAAAAAATTCGCCAGAGTTTCCCCTAAAAATTATATTTTCCCCCTATGCATAAAATATAAAAATACAATCAATCAAAATATCAATGTTTAACCAACAAAATCATAATTGTCAAACAAATTATTTAATCTTGATTAAAGACTTAATATAACTATCAATACTATATTATAAGTACTTCAATTTTTCAAAAATCATTATATATCAATAAAAAAATTCGCCAAAGTTTCCCCTAAATATAGGAGAATTTATGTTGTCCCAATTAATCAATTAATTTATGTTTTCTCTATTTTAATTAATTTTTCCAATATGATTAAACTTAAATAAAAGAAATATAACTTAAATCGATTTCTCTTAGGAAATAATAATAATTAGAAAGGATACTTATAGTATACTGCTGAGCTTGTTCATCAATATATGTTGGCATTTTATCTTTTTCCTTGGGATGGTGCATTTTTTCGGCACGGATCACATTAACAAATGATGGATCCCTATGCTCCGGATTTTTTTTCTTCTGCAATATCACATATTTAATTATTGTGTTAATTCCCACAAATACGATAATTAACTACAAAATGATTATAATCGTTTATGAGATGAAATCTAAAATTTAGAAGAAAACTTTTTACCAATTTTCTGACAAAATCATCATAATCCATTGATCCACCTGTGTGCGTTACCCTGAGGCCTTTGGCTCGATTTAGCTTCGCTTGCTCTCTCCGCGCATTGAATTGAGGGTCCTCCGTCCATTTGTATTTTAACTTCTCCCAAATCTCATCAGACATGTAGGTTTTCTTTTTAGTAGAATTATTTTTTCTACATGAAGTTTGGATATCAGTCATCATCCGATTATATCTGTTTTCACAAACTTTTAGAAATGTGGTATGCACAGCATCTTCATGAGCAGGCTCCCACTCATATCTATTCTGAAAAACAAAATTATTGGTATCATATATTAATGTATTAATTGACTCACAAAAAAAAAGAAGCACATATATAAATAAAACATATTAAAAATTATTCAATATAATTACAAACCC